TGTTGATAAAAACTCTCGTGGATGTGCTCCCGGAGAACCATGTCTGGAGCAAGTTTTATTTCATAGCGTCTATCTGCTCATCTTCAATGGAAAATTGCTCCTCAGACTAATTATGAATTATGAATAAGGATACTAATCTACTCTTATCAGCACAAGCGCCAAAACAGTAAGTTTAGAAGTTTTGGGCGCTCTAGGTGCTTGGAGATTAGTTCTCGTTGTTATGCATACCTTGTACTGTAGTAAACCTTTTGTCCTCTGCTAAAATAAGCAATCCACCATCCATAGGTCGATGTAGACGCTGAAATAATTGCGATTTATGTATATTAAGGGATAATAATTTACCGCAACTGACATAAAATAAATATACTTGGTTCCAATTTTGCTCACTTTCAAAATGAAATAGGAACGAAATACAAGTCAATTTTAGCGTTGCAAATCACATCTCGCATAACAAATAGCCTTATACTAATTCTGAAAAAGGTTTAACGTAGTATATACCTGTGAGTAGCACCCGATCGCAGTACATTCTGCTGAACTCCCATTCGGTATTTGGTGCTTTGTCAGCGAAATCAGCAGCTATCAACGGCGCTGACCAACTAATGTTTGCAGCTATGTAAGGTTCGACAACGTTTTCCTTCGTCCATTCAATACTGTCAGTGAAGACGTAGATATGAGGAGGACGCGAGTCCTCGCTTATTGCTAAAGATTAGCTATCTCGTTTAATACATATGATCACAATGAAACGGTTCATTGAACCCATAAATTAAAAAGTCACATTGGTTGCTTGAATGTGAAAAAAAAATACCCTAATCACCTTTTATAGTAATCAAAGAATTTTTTAAAACTGTAGAGGGCTTCTAATTTCATCGTTCAGAAATATCTTTGCATCTGTTTGCTTAGAATAAAGTGTGAAAAATAACAAAAAATTTGCCGTATAAATGGCAGAGTTACAGTTTTTGCCGGGGTACGGTAATTTACTCGATAACTTACTCTTCTCAACAACAAAACGCATGGCAGCTAGGCTAAACTCAGCATCGGACGCGCGAT